CCTTTAATATAATTCAAAATTTTATTATTCAAAATATACGAAAGTTCGTTATGAGTTGTTAAAATTACTTTGTTTATCAGTTCTCGATCTCAGAGGAAATACAAACGATTTTATGTTTCCGTAAAAAAAAAAATACAGCATCCAAAAATGTACCAGATGTTTTCAGAGAAAATTGTGTGCTAATATTAATTTATGCATACTGCAAAAATTTCATCGCTTATGTAGCGTTTCCACATGATGATCGGGCAAAGTTAATCATGTCACAGTGTCAGTGTCTCAACCACGCTTTACTAATGCTCCTCCCTATTTCCTCTGTTAAAATAAGGAAAAATCCGCTAAACATCCGCATTGATTTTTTTACCCTACATTTCCTTGTACTTACTTGCTCTTCCTCATCAAATCCCTGAAATGTTTTTTTCTCTTCCACGTTTTTCCTATCATTTCTCCACTTTCCCCCATGTTCTTCCATCTGTTTTCTTTAACGCTAAATTAAATTTATTACAAAAAGTTAAGCAAGGTTTCTTACGTACTCTGAGCATTTGACCTTATGAGACTTACAAAAGAACCAATATTTGTATTTTGAAACTTAAAACCAAACATTACATTATTGTATAATATTTCTCCATAAAAAAAACTAATATTTTATTTTAAGGTGAAAAGTTGGGCAATTTTAATATATTTGGTTTCTATCTAAAAAAAAACCAAGACAAACTATCGAATATACACAAGTTTCTTTTCAGCATAACAATAAGGTAAAATGAGGTATAGTAAGACAACGCAGAAACTACAGGGTATAGTGGGACACGAGAAGAAAATCATAACTGGTAAATTCATTTGTCAAAAAATATCCTTAAAAAAATTTCCTAATATTCTTTATCTCTTAGCTAGATTAGACTCCCAAAATTGATTGTGGTAAACGCTCAAGGGAAAATGAAAAAAATATTTTATCAAGCTGTCCAAGCACTTGTTTGATGCATACGTCTTAAACGAGGCATTTCGCCCATTTTAGATGTGACACTAAAGTTGACTATCAAGATGATATACCGAAACTAAAATTTTTTTCGTATGTTCAAACTATTGATACGTCATAATATGACACTAAAGAACAAGTTTTATTAATTAGAACTTAAAAATAATTACTTTGTCATAAAATATAGCCTGTCCTAGTATACCCTTATTTTCTGTAAACACCATGTAGAAGTGGGACGAGGCTTATCATTGCTATTCCACTACTGCATCTTTTTTTTTTAAAACTCAGTAGTAGTGGGACAAGTACTTGACAAGATCAAATTCTATTTTTAACGACTGTGATTTCGTGCTTTTTACTATAGTAATCGTGCGAGTGTCATCAGTCTAATCATTAATAGTGAAATTAAACTCAAATATATTTGTAGGGTTAGTAGTTAAGTGAATGTGAGCATTGTTACCTGGTAAATAGATATAATCTGAAATCTAACCTCAATGCAATCTGTATTAATCCATCCTGCCCAATATAAAAAAATTAACATTGCAGAAAATGATGTATAATTTAAATAGTTAATTTTCATCATACCAATATTGAAAAAAATACTGACTAAAATTAATACCTCTGAGAATTGTCAACAGAATAATACAGGTATTAATTTACTCACATTATATTTTCATTTGGTATTTCAGCCTTTAAAACTTGCTTCTTATCTCCACAGAAGAATCAAATAATTCTCCTTTAAAAAATATATTTTCTGTAACCAGTCTTAATTTTAAGATCAAGAAGGAAGCATCTAAGGAAACCCGACCCGTGGTGTTTGTTAATAATTTGGTTCCGGAAACTTTTTGGCATTATATAACGGGTATAGTAAACCCAGCTAATATCGCATTTTAGGATGTTTTACCATCTCA